TAAACGGTTAGCAGCTCGAGCAAGCTTGCAAAGTCCATATGAACATCACATATTGACAACAATAGATTTATTTAACTATGCAAGAAATAATATCTATAGGGTAAATTATATATTTGTGAGCAATAATGAAATATGAAGATAGAAAGTCATCTTGAAAGCAGATTTTTGAGAGCAAAGAGAATTTCTGGAACACAAAGTTCCAAGCTTTTATTCCCCTAGACGAAAACAAAAGTCATAATTTATTTAAATTCCTTGGATTATAATATATGATATATTTTAATTATAAATTTTTGATTGTATTATATGTAATGCAATTTGAGGCAAATAAAATTATAAATATGTTTAGAATTATTTTGTCAAGTAACTTCGAGACAAAATTTAACTAAAGTGTTAAACAAAGCTCATTACTCCAGCCACTTCTCAAAAATTTTGATAAAGATAAAAAAAAGTAAGGGCCTGTCATTAAGACATAATTTTTAAATTAACATTATTTCATAACTATTCATTAAATTAAAATATGATGATATTAATGTTAAATATGTTTAATTTTAGCCATAAAAAGAGCGATAACTCCTAAACCTATGTTCATCCAAGTCTAGGATTTTATACAAATATAAAGCAGTGTGATATCTATTTACAGAAATAAAATACCTTTTTTTCTATGGATTTTTCAGTTAATTATTGATGATATTAATGTTTAATTTGTTCAATTTTTAAAGAGTGATAACTCCTAAACCCATGTTCATCCCAGTCTAGGATTTTGTACAAATATAAAGCAGTGTGATATCTATCTATAAAAAATTTTTTTTTCTATGGCCATTTCCGGTTTTACTTTTCGATATTAATCAAATGTCCATCATATTTATTTTTATGTCATTTTAAAGAACTTTTATTAAGCTACAAAATAAAATTTAAATTATTTTTCTAACTTAATTATTTCTCGAGATATTTGAAAATAAATGAGGTGCATTTTGTCAAAAATGTACCATTTTTCCGCGCTTTAAACGGCCATATCTTAGCGGGTAAACTTGTTGGAAGGTAAAATTTCATTTTCTTCTTAGTTATAGGTATACAAGATTTAAGAAAAGGGGGTCGGGTTGAAACCTTGGTTGATTTGATATGGAATTCACCATATATATTTGTTGAATATTTTTTCGAACCCATGTAATAGAAGGTCTTTTGCGACACTTTTTCATAATATACCTTATTGCAAGGTTGGGCAGAAATTAATTATATATGTAATTAATTACGTAATTACTTTGTAAGTAATAACTAATTAATTCTACTTTAAAAAAAGGTTTTTTAATTTATAAATAATTATATTTTTTACATGTAATTAGGAATTAGCAGTTATAATTCATAATTACATTAATAATTTTCTTATTTAATTAATTTTTATGAAAAAGGCTTAATAATTACAATCATTCATTCATATTTTTTATATTTAAAGCTATTAATATTTGCAATATTTCATTCATATTTTTGGCGAAAGACTTTCTCAATTTTATATCGTGGCTTACCTAAAATTATTGGATCCTAGTGAACACACCGGAATTGAGTCATGAAGAATAAATTCACAGGCAAGTTACAAATAGCGTCCCTTATCATAAATGGTATGAAAAACAAACTAGCAGTTCTCTTAAGGATGTCAAAGGGGGAGAAAATAGATATCATTGGTATTCAGGAAACACATTGTCCAGGAAATAATACTGCAAACTTACTATTGTAAAAATATTTGTTCAGGCACCACTTCCAACAACTGGACTGGAATAGCTTTCCTAATTAACAAGCGTATACACAAATATGCCATCAAATTCATGCCCATATCAGAAAAATGTGGTCTTCTTTACCTAGATACGAACGTTAGGCCAACAACAATCGCAAATTTTTATGCCCCACTAAATAGAAGTGAAAGATCAGGCTTTATTGAAACACTACCAAGCAGATATAACATAATAATTCTAGGTGATCTTAACATGAAGTTTGGTAAAGAAGCAGTTTATATCAGCAGTAATGTCATTGGGAATGTCACTATATAACAACCAAACTGTGAAGATAGCAGGAAATTCCTTGATTTCTGCAATAACAAAAACTTCAAAATAGAAAACACCTTCTTTTATCACAGTGAAATAAATACCTACTCTTTTGTAAGAGCTCAAAAATCTCAAATTGATTTCTTCATATCTAATATTCACCGATGGTTCGAGGATGTCAAGGCATCAACCAATATAAATCTGTCAGATCATAAAATGCTCATAGCAATTATCACCATAAAGAATATAAGGGGTTATCATAACAATAGACCAAATTTGATAAGATTAAGTAATAATCCTCTGAAAATAAATTTCACGCGCTAACTTAGTAAAGTGCAAACGCAGGAGGATCAAATACTTTTTGATCTAACAACGAACCTGAAAACGGTTAACTTTCTGAAAGAAGCCACACACGGAAATGTAGAAAAATGTTGGAATCTATTCAAAAAAGAACTTGCGGAATCATATGATAGACTACCGAATATAAATCTGCTTCAAGGAAAGAATGGATGCCAAGGGAAACCTTAGAAAAAATTAATCTACTAAGAATGACGAACGGCTTCAAAGATTACTTCAAAGTGATAGACGGATTTTCATTGCGAAAAAAGCCTTCTATATCGATAAAGACATAAGAGAATAGGATTTATGATGCCCATAAAAAATTAAAATATTTTGTAAACCTGATAGTTTTAAGTAAGCAACCCTCTATTGTTTTAAGCAGAGACCTGCAGAGATACCATTTGCATGGCCCGGCCCAGATTTTTTTTTAAATTTTCGGCCCGGTCCGGATATATTTTTTACGGCCCAGCCCGGGTTTAAAAATTTTAGGCCCGGCCCGGATATTTAAAAAAATATATATTTTGAGCCCGGCCCGGATTTTATTTAAAAAAAATTTTTAGGCCCGGCTCGGAATTTTTTAAAATTATATTTGACCTGTTATATACAAAAAATTTACCTATTCGGTATATTATCATATTTTTCGGCGAGTATTATCATTTAATAAGCAAGCATATTAGCTAATGTTGTTAAACGGCTCGCTTTGAGCCGGTTTTTTATAACGGCTAACTCTATTTTCGCAAGCCTCGAAATTTTGATACTATATGTCTAAAATTTTCAGGCTTGCGCATTATTTTTCTGGATAAAATACTGTGTTCGCCGTTTTTAAAAATCGGCTCAAAACGAGCCGTTTAACAATATTTTATTTTTTTATATTCTAAACAGATATTTAGTATATTACAAATTGATACTATAAAAAATGTGTGTAAATTATATTTTGAGAATATACTATATTAATTGTATTTATAAAAAAAATAAAACTGATATTTTAAATAATAAAAAATATAACATATATAATGTATTTATTACCTATTATCCTTTTGGCAGGAAAACTATAATTATAATTGTATTATGTAATAGATACTATGAGTGTTAGATAGTGTTAACTTTCACCCAACATTATATTAATCATAACTTTATATAATCATTATAACCATGTCTAATTGACGAGTATAATAATTCATGTTGTATAAATTTTTTAAAAAAATTTTACGGCTCGGCCCGGGTATTTAAAAAAAAATTTCAGGCCCGACCAGGGTATATTTTAAAAATTTAAAATACGGCCGGGCCGGGCTTGCAGGTCTCTGGTTTTAAGAAACGGGAAAGTAATTATCGACCAAGATGAACAAATTGCATTATGGCTTGACTATTTATTACATGATGGTCTTTGACTCAAGGAGAGCAACCCCACCAGCAAGCTTGAATACAAACCCTGCTCCACCCCCATTTGGTTTCTCCATAAGCGAAATTGCTAATGTAATCAAGAAATTACGCAAAAACAATGAGTCAGGGCTTGATAATATTTCAGCACAATACCTGAAAATAGCACCCGTGACAATATCGTCCTTCTTATTTATCCTCTTCAACAAAGTGGAAACACTCCAGAGGAATGGAACAAATCCTTCCTATGTAACTTCCCAAAGATTAAAGACCCACTAAAATTCACAGATTACCAAGCTATTGCGCTAACTTCCTGTGTCTCAAAAATCTTTATGGTCTTCATAAAAAACAGAATCATGTCATCCTACACCACACATTTTCCCCAAATATATTTGCGCGTACAGGCCAAATAAAAATATGCTCGAGCCAATATTAGCTCTAAAAATAACTATTCAAAAATGCTGTAAATATAAAATACCTGCCTACTTCACCTTTGTAGATTCCAGCAGAGCCTTTGATAATATTAACCATGAGGCACTTATGGGAAACATTGTCAGAATGTGGGATTAAACCAAACATTATTCTCATCCTAAAAACCAATATTCTAAATTGGTTGCGTGTTTCAAAATAAATGATAAAATATCCTCTTGCTTTAGAATTAAAAAAGGAGTAAAACAAGGCTGTACTCTATCGCCACTCCTGTTCAACATTATAATAAACAAAGTCATAAAGGAAGTACTGGGTGAAGCTGATCTAGTGGATTTAGGATCTAATGATTCCATATCTTTTGTCAACAGAATGGTATCATATGCTGATGACAGTTGTAATACCAAGAGTATAGATGAAACTAAAAACTTGTTATACCTACTAGAGATTCTAAGTCAAAGGGGGACTTGCAATAAATTCAACAAAACTTTTATTCTTTTATTCTCCCCTCCCCAAATGCTCCACCGCTCGATAATCTTACATTTGGAGGAAATGTAGTTAAAATTGTGAACAAAATTAAATACTTAGGTAACGTTAGATAACAAAGCAGTTGTAAAGAGGAAATGATGATCAGAATACAAAAGGTAAGGGGTGCCTTCTATATGTACATGAAAATATGGAAAAATAAAGAGATCTCGGTATTTACCAGACTGCAGATCTTTAACTCGACAATAATTCCTATATTAATCTATGGAGGGGACATATGGGAAATAAACAAGACAGACATACAAAGGGAAAATAAGTTATATAATTATGTAAAGTTACCTTCATTAGTCTCAGATATTCTTTGGCTTGAGTTATATTTCCCTGTTTTTTGGATATTATGGCAGCTTGCTTAAATGATGCCTGACGAGTGGATAATGATTGTAATTTTTGCGTTATGTGAAGAGGGTAATTTTGTGGCTGTAGCGAAGGAGATGTGGCGGAATAAGTTGACAAGATAATTTGGTTATTCGATTGTTTATTTTGATTTGACACTTCAGGATATTAAACAAAAAAATATTATATTAGTTTTAATTAGTGCTGTAAACTTTACTTAAAAAATTAAAGGCGTTACTCGTTACGTCAAAAAAAGGAACGGGTTACCGTTACGTTACCTTGTAAAAAAGGGAAAGCATGTTACTGGCTATTCAAAAAGTAACACGTTACTTGTTACTTAATTAACTAAATTTTAATTACAAAAATTTCCTATATATAGTAAATTAAATTATACAAAAATAATATCTTTTTATACTAATTTTATTTCTATATATAATATAAATAAAATTATACAAAAATTTTATTTATTTTTAACAACAATTGATTTTCAAAATTTTATCAGATAAACAAGAGAGTGGTCAAAACATCCTTCGCCGTGCTAAACACATGTTCAACTGACGCAGTGTATGGAAGGGTAAAAAGGTTAATAAATCATCTTAAGAAGAATCTTCAATCAAATCCTTATCAAATTTTATTTTATCTATATCTGAAAATAATCTGGTATGGGTGTTATTTTTTAAAGGAATCAATGTCTTCTTTATCTTTGTCAAGATATTTTCTCAAACTGGAAATATGTTCAAGCGTTCTACTTCGTTGACCAATAATTTTATCCAGTGCTTATCTAATTTAAGTAGGGGGTGTTAACGGGTGAATTTTGCTGATAGTTTATATTCATCTTTATAGATGTGTTCAAATTTAAAATAAATATAATCAAAATATAAATTGTAAACAATATTCAACTGTATACCTATCTATGTCTTGCAGGATTACATTAATAAGTGGTTTACAAAACTTGAAATTATTCAAAGCAATTTTTTAAGTTAAAATATTATAATAGTTATATGAGAGTTAGATATCCCTAGTGTTCTAAAATCGAAAGAGCTGTAAAAACAGGTTCTACAACATATAAAATCATATATCATATTTTTTTAATTAACACTAACCATATAAAATATATATGAACTACTTGTCATTACTGAAAATCTCTACAATTCGATTTATCAAAATATTCGTCAAATTGGTTATTCTCCCTAAATAAGATATTAATTTCACGATAAAAGGAGTTCTATCTTGTTATAACCGATTTATCAGATATCTTGCTATTTTTTCTTTAAAACTGGCTGCACAGTGTCAAAACTGCCCATATTTATTCTAATTGAGGAAATATTTGAACTAGGACACAGTTTGTATAATTTTTTTATTGGGGTAAAAAATGTTTCATATTGGGGCCAGGGCAAGTTAAATTATCTTCAACTGAAGAAATATGTATAATTGACATAATATTCTTTATAAAATAAATCGTAATATAGAGAATAAGATTATAAATAAACATATCAATATTGATTCAATATTAATTAGATTAACAATCTTGACTGAAAATTTAAATAAAAATGAAGGTTGGTGGTTGATTTGACTTAAAAACTTGGCTTAGATTTATTTATAAAATCAATCAAAATCTAATATATATAATCTCCGTAATCAAGGAATGAACATTTTCATATATCTTAATGTTAATTTTTATTTTTTTCTATCAATTTTCCTTTCATCTTAATGTTAATTTTTATTTTTTCCATCAACTTTCCTATCATCTTAATGTTAAATAAATCGATGGAAACTATATACCTCTAATGTTAAATTATTTTTTTAAAAATTTTTTATTTTACACATCAAAATGATCCGAACCACAGATTTAACGTTCCAAAAGCAAAAGTTCTTTCCCATCGGTCCCCTTCTATCTTAAATTCTCTATTATAATTCTTCTTATATATGAATTTATATTTTCAAAAAAAATTAACAGGTAGTATAATTATCTATATATGGATTCTTTTATATTACACACATTTTGTAATAGATTAATTTTGTGCCAAATCGTTATTATGAAAAATAGAAATAGTTCAAAATAAAAAAAGTTTATCAATAATAACTTTATTAAAAAACTTTAATGTACACTAAGGAGCATATATATAGATTGCGTAATCACATTAATTCCAAAATATATTAAACCTCTATTAATATCTTATATTACACATATTTTGAATCACCGTAATTTTATGTCAAATATTATAATAAAAATATCAAATTTATTAGTTTAATATTTTTAAAAATTAAACCTTTCTTCTTTAAATATATTAAATTCATTAGGTTCTAAGATGAAAAATGTCATAAATAGGAGAAATCTAAAATAATTTAGATATATTTTTCTTTTGTATTAGGTTTTATTTTCCTTTAAAAAAATTTGTAATATATTAAAATTAAATTGCTCTCTTTGAATTCTATTTATATTTATTAGTTTATTGATATAAAATATGGAGGGGGGGGGGGATATTTAAGGTTCTATTTTCATTTTAAAAAATGGGTTATTAATTAAAAATTTGTTTAATTTTATTTTACCTACTCAAATTAAAATTAAATAAACCAATAATATGAAATAAAAAACTTTAAAATAATGTATATCTGAATTGAGTATAGAAGCTTAAACTCAAAAATTTTATAGGCTGAATTTAAATGGTGTTAGGTGAAATCATTTATGTAAATAATCAAATACTATATTTAAATTTTTTAAAGGCTCATATTAGTTGAAATAATTTACCTATTAATAAAAATTTATTAAAAACGTAATTTATTAAGATTGTTTAAATTTATTTTTAAAATTTAAATTATCATCTCATATAATATATTATGGATGCTTGGATTGAGGCTTAAAATTCCAAATTTTCAATCAATTTTAAGTATCTCATGACCTTATGCTGTTTTTGATTATTAGCTTATTGATGCAAATTATCAAAGTGCGTCAAAAATATTGAGGTTAGTAATACAGCCTTGCCTGATCAAAAAACCAAGTCCCATGCACATAAAATTTTGCCATTTATTTTAATTGTAATTTAATAACAATGTCTTAAATATAACCTTTTATTCCATTTATTTCTATTGTAATTTAATAACAATGTCTTAAACTTAATTTTCTATTTAGAATAAAATTTAAATTTGTGATAGAAATCATATTGGGTAAAATTTAAAATAGAGATGTTTGAAAATTTTTTAATTTTAAATATAGACTCATTATTAGCCAGGGATCCAAACCAAACCTGAACCGTTAAACCGCTAAAAACGGGTATTTTTTATCGAACCTAAACCGCTAAAAAAATTATAGCCGAACCTGAACCGAACCGCTAAAATGCCTCTGAACCGGTTCGAGCCTCATGATTTTATGCCTATAAAATAATATGTAAGTTATTACTAGTATATTGCAAAAATTTCAATTATATTCGAATTGTTTTAAAAATTATTCATAATTTTTATAAACGTTAGTATATTGCGATTTTACAGCATTTTTTAAATATTTTAAGTTTATAAATTATAATACTTAGAGAAAATTAAATCCAATATACAAATTATTTACATATAGTATTATAAATGACACATTAAAGTGTAATATTATTGATTGTCAAATAAACATGAAAGGTCATATAAATCTTGAGTGTCACATAAAAAGAAACCACCATCTAGAATTCGATAAAATTAACAAAATATCACAACAAAATCCTAATAATATCAAAAAATTTAAGATGGCATCAAGCCAACAGACGAGGCATTAATAGAACAAACAATATCATTTTAACTAAATAGAAAAAATAATAATCAATGCTTACTGAGTTGGTCACTTTTAATGGCAGACCATTCAAATTAATCGATGATAGCGGTTTTAAAAAAATTCTTGATCCTTTATTAGAAGACGTGTAAAATTAAAATTAATTCTTAAAATATTCAATCTAATGTTGCAGAATAATCCTTAAGTATTTGGCAAAATATAATCATAAAAATAAATATTAAAGTTAATTTTTCCAAAGAACCTAGGTTAAATAAAACTATGAATATTTTAAACTATTGGAGAAATCAGAGTAATCGATGCCCAGAATTATGTAAATTGTTTGATATAATACTGGTAGTGTAAGCTACCCAAGTTAGTGTGGAAAGATATTTTTCAACAATTAAATTTATACTGTCTCTTTATTGATGTAATTTGAGTGAGACGAATCTTTAAAATATATAAATTGTGCAGCCTAATAAAAAAATTTTAAGTAAATATAGTTAAATATTGTTCATATTAAATTTAATCATTGATATTTATTTGTATTATTTATAATTTAAATATTATTTTATAATCTGCAAATAAAAATGAAGGCTTTATGTATAAGTTTTTTATTTTAATGATGAAATAAAAAAATATACCTACCTATACATAATTCGAATGTAGATTTGAATACAAAAATGTTCAAACCAGTTTTTAGAGTCGAACCGAACCGATATAATTATTTTTTAAGAACCGAACCTGAACCTTGAACCGTTATTTTTATAAAATAGAAATGCTTGAAAATTTTTTAATTTATAATATGGGCTAGATATTGGTCTGAAAATTTTTTTTTGCAGAATCGCCAGGCCTGATTAAAAAACCAAGCCCATTCAACTTTCATATTCTGATTGTATTTTTAAATAAATTATGACTTTTAAATATTTTATTTCACTTCTCAACTACCAAAATTATTATGGTCTTTAGCGGGCTTGAGAAATTTTTCCCAGCATTAATATGTGCATGAACCTGGCTTAAGAATTTTTTTAACATTAGATAGGCACAATTTTAACACAGAATATTTATATGGGTTTCTGGTAAAAGCTAATTTAAATATATTTTTACTCAAAAATAGTATTCACTCTTAGTCTTAATGGGTTGGCCTTGGTCTGAAGTAGGGTTGAGCGGGATTAAAAAGAATAAAAAATAGATGTTTTTTAGAGATTTACCTATCTTCAGGCTTGGGAAAAAAATTTCAAAATTATTAAGGGTTGGCCAGGCTTGAGGAAAATTTTTTAAAATTATTATGGGTCGGGATGGGCTTAGAAAATATTTTTATAAATTATATTGGGCTGGGCTTGGGGAAAATTTTTCAAAATTATTATCAGTTTGGACGCTAGGAAATTTTTTATTATTAACTATGGATCAGATATTGGCCTTAAACAAATTTTTTTGCAGGGCTGAGCTCGGTCTGATCAAAAAACCAAGGCCCATGAAAATCTGATTTTGATTGTATTTTTAAATTAATTATTATTTTTTTAATATTTTATTCCAGTTCTCGACTACCAAAATTATTATGATCATTGGTTGGGCTTGGGGAAATTTTTCCATATTATGTCCTTGTACCTAAATATTAGGCATAGGTGATCAGTAATATTTTAACAAATAATATTGATATGGGTATCAAGTAAAAACTTTAAATATATTTTGACTCAAAACATAGCATAAACTTAGTTTTAGTGGTTTGGACCTGGCCTGAAGGGGGAAGGGGGTTATAAAAAATAAAAATGTATTATTTTCAAATAACAGACAACAGCTATCATAAAAGTAAGGAGAAAATTCTTATTCCCCATCATTTTTGACGGGCTCAGCCATTCTGACTAACGGAACCTCTGGTACTCTTAGTTATTATATTTTTCATTTTGCCCATCAAGAAAGAAGGGTCATCATACTTTTCCTTATTCGATGATAGATGAATCAGAAATTAAGAATATCTTATAAGGTGTGATTCACAAATTTACCTCTTTTTCTCCTAAATTTTAATATTTTTATAAAATATATCAATAACGTATATTTAGTACCTACATAAACTAACTTATTAATCCCTCAACCCCGTCATTCTTGAAGGGTTATTAGCTAGTAATTTTATAATACAATAAAATATGTTTTTTCCATATTTTTTAAGAAAAAATTTAAAGTAACGAGTAACGTTTTGCATTACCGTTACTCAAAAAAAATAAACGCGTTACCGTTACTCACTGCTTCTAGAAGAGGGAAACGAATGGCGTTCTTTTCTTCAAAATGGTAAAGCCGTTTAAAGACGTAACTTTTTTGAAGTTACTTTACAGCACTAGTTTTAATATTTAATGTCGAATTATAGTCGTATATTATCTTAATAAATAATAATTAATACCGCTATCTTTTTGATCTATTTTATCGCCATTTATATATTCAGTGAAAGAGATCTCAGCAAAATCTAGAAAATTTATAAATTTTATTAGGGATATTACTTTTTTTAAATTAAAATAAATTATAATTCCAATAAAAACTAAATAATTTAAAAAAACTTGGTGGATTAGGAAGTTCTTGAAATGCATAATTCCAATTTTTATTTTGTACAGCATTAATCGCATCTGAGTATTGCTTTATTATTCTCGTCATCCTTCTAAGTTTCCCAGGATTATCGTCAGTTTGTTTGCAAGAATTTAAGGAGTCTTCGTAAATTTTCAACCTCTCTTTCAATTCGGATTTCAATTTGTTCGTCTTATCGGGAATTTCTTTTAAAAATTATGGGTAATGTAATATGAAAATCATTAAATTTAGAAATAATATAAAGTGATATCAATATTCGCTTTTTCTTATCATATAGGCGCTAAGAGTAAATATTTTTATTCATTTAAAAGTGTGGGGCAAGATTTTTCGACCATAGCGGCGCCACTGATGAGATGGACATGGTTTTCCGTTGTTTTCGAATGTAAACTCACATAATCAGAGCACAAATTATGTAAAAACATTTTTCGTTTTTCCAAAAAAAAACAGGTAGTGGCATTACTATTCGAAAAAGTAACGTATTAATGTAAAGGGTTCAATTTTACGTTACTCGTTACTTCATAGTTATTTTTATTATATTCTAATCATTTTTGTTTTATTATTATTTATGTTCATGTCAAATAAATATATTAAAAAATTTATAGAAATATAAAAAAAATATATAAAACCGAGATTTTAAAATGAATCAAACGGATATTTCAAATTATTTTTTTTCCAGCTATTATTTTTATTGGTCTATTCTACAATTAAATTAAAGTAGTGTTAGTGAGGATAATGCCATGATGTGAGTTATCTTAATTATTACCCTAAGGCCAAATGAATAAAAGAACCAATATTTAATTTCTTTTTTGAGAAAGGATATCGATGACATCTATGGAGAAATTAGTGTCCAGACTGGTTCCAAAATAAGAAAAAAAAAGCTCTTTGAGATGAAAATATGTCTGATCACTCGGATGATGAACTATTAAAAAAATATAGAGAAAAAAAATCTTACCAATTTTAAAACATTAAAACCATGTTTATATAATATATCTCCGCCATTTTCTGCATCTTTTGACCGGGTGTTCATTACAATAAACGGAGGGCTGAAAGAAAAACGATCTTAAAAACTTTGAAAAATAATCTCCATTAAAGTTGCTAAGAAAACTTTATCAGTATCTTTCCAATTATTTATTTATTTGAATTTTGGGGTTTAGGTAATAAATCTATATTGAATAAATTGATGAAATAAAGGAAGAAAATATATCTAATCTTTTTACATTTCGGTGCTTTAAAAACAATAAAGTAACGGTGTTATACTCGGACGAAGAAACCGAAGGATATCTAATTTATTGTCAGAATCTTGATTTTAAAATAAAAATTAACCATTTAATTATTAGTAGAAAATCTTTTAAAAAAACTGAATAAGATTTATTATATGCACTGATTTTTATAATATTTTGTCTGCAATAAATAATTTTTGGAATTATGGTTAAACTCTCCTTCATTTGTTTAAAAGAATATGGCAACGCTGGTTCTGTGTTGAATAATGACTAAATGATTGATTTTTAAAAGAAGAAAAACAGTTATAAAGGTGATTCTTTTGAACACCTATTTTCAGAATTAACTTTTCATCATGGCTGAAAACTCGAACTCCAGAATTTACTGAACCCAAGTTTAAGAATTGTATTTTTTATATTTTCAATATAAAATAATTGTATAATTTTTTTATTTAACTTACATAAAAAAGAAATTTTAAAAATTAATATATAGTTTTAAAAAATACATTAAAAATTATATGAACCATAATGAAAAACAGGGAAGGGGGGGGGGGATGTATTAAATATATCGTCTATATAGAACCGAGGATGGAGATAAAATTGGATTTGCATATTTCGAGAGATATTCTTTGTTTAATGTTTATTAGTTTTTTTTTGTGAAAATCATTTTTCGTAGTCATTTTTATTATATTTTAGGTAAAAAAATTTTACCACCAGATTTTGTTAATTTTTTTATATATACAGTGTTGTGCAGATTTAATTTAAAACATTTCCATATTTTTTAATTTGTTTGTGAATAAAATTATTTAACTTGTAAAAATTGATAAGAATATATTTATTTTAACAACTTTTTTCAAGTCAAATAATTTTATTATCAAATAAATTAAAAAATATGAAAATATTTTCCAACAAATCTGATCAACATTTATATAATGCAGTGACGAAGCGTGAAGTTTGCTACTAGGGAAGCAATTGAATTCTTACTTTTATTAACCAAACCATATAAAATATTAAGATTTATAAATGAGCAGAATTGGTCTTTGTTTTTGAGTACTAATTAAAATTGTTAGATTTAAGACTTTTTAATAAATATTTAATTGAGATAGATTGGAAAATCGATAAATATTTTATTTTAAATATTAAAACCCCCTCTGAACTTGCGGTTGTTAAATAGATTAAAATTTTGATTTGGTTTTCAAAATTTGTAAAGTTGATATTGGTTCTTTTAAAATCAATTTCTTTATAGTTTATATCAAAAAATTTTGAGCTAAAAGATGTTTTTAATAAATTTTTAAGAACACAATTCATTTTAAATTAATTATCGTTTTTAAAAAATAAGAAATTTTTTTATTAGCTTCCCTAACGTTTATTTTTTAAAAGTAAAATTATACAATATATTTGCTTGATCTCTTTTTTACTAAATATATTAGCAATAATTTTATATTGGGATAATGTTTAATTTTTTAATATAACGAAAAATATTTCTTTTAAAAAGTGAGCAATTTTAAATTTGCTTCCTGCATAAAATTTTTTTGATTGTAGTAAAGCTAATATTAATTTTATTTAAAATTACAAGGGAAGCAATGTTGCACTTGAGAGTTTCCCTCGAAGATAACGGTAAAACCTGTAAATAAACTAATCAATTTTTTTAATAACAATGACTAATTTTTTCCAAATTATGTACATGCATATGCAGCATTTTAAAAATATAGGACTTATAAAATGTCTAAAAATCTTATTCTTAATAAAAAATAAATCAAATTATCAACCGGTCATGAGTTTCTTGTCCATCAATGGGGCCACCATTTTTTGCGATGTTTCGTTTAACATTTTAATTTCGGAAATCTGATGTTCGTTATAATCTATTGTCGGGTGGTATGTTGTGCTATTATTTAGATTATTGGCATCGGGTGAAGCGTTTTTAGAATCACCAAGAGATTTATAAGATTGTGGAGATGAAATGTATTCTGTTAGCGTCGGAATTTTTTTTGATTCTTTGATTAAATCAGTGATATTTTTAGTTTCTACGTTCGGTGGGATTAATTGTAAAAACTTGGCAATCAAAATTTGGTAATTCTAATATATATATTTTATAATAAAAAAATATGGTCGAAGGACTTATTAGAAATTTATGATGAATAACAGTTATTTCTATATTTTTTTTAATATTATGAATAATATTAATAGTAATTAAAAATGTACTAATTCAATCACTCAACTCAATATTTATATGAGAGGCCTATTAGCATAGAAACCAAAAAATGAAATGGTTTATACAAGGTGGTTAGATTGAAGTGTCATCATCTTTCACTTAATCATAACCTCGTCCGTTTTGATTTTTTTTACGAAATTTGACAGTGATAAAATAACTCATTAACAATTCTGTAGAAAATCTGCAACTTTATTCAAAAATAAACACCAAACGATTTTTGTCGTTACCAAATGAAAAAAAATATGGTTTTTACTAAAGATGATATAGTTTAATTGAAATTTTACAGAACGACATAATGGCCAAGTGATAATTCAGGAATTTCCAAGATACAACGAGATCAGCAGAGAAAAGTTTTAGTAGTGGGAGACCAATAAGTTTAATAAGTGTCCGAATTCGAGCATTTCGTGGTCTCCCACTACCATACCTTTTGTCTGCTGATCCTGTTGTGTCAATTTGGCGAATGAGCCGATTGAGTCGTGAAAGATACCAATTATTATTTAGGAATTTTTGAAATAATCATTTGGCATAATAATGTCGTTCTTGTCGAAAATTTTAATTAAAATTAAATCATCTTTAGGAAAACCATATTTTTTTATCGTTTGATATCAAAAAATTTTGTTTTTTTTATTTATAAATAAAGTTGCATATTTTCTAAACCTATTAAGAAACATTTATAAAACTTTACAGAATTGTTAAGAATGAGTTATTTTATCAGGCTGTAAAATTTCGAAAATCTTAAAAACTGAAGAAGTTATATGATTAAGTGAAAAAGAGCGTCATCACTTCAATTTGGCCACCCTGTATAAATCGGGGTTGCCTTTAAAAAAATAAAAACTCCGGAAAAGCCTGGCCTAATTTTTCTTATAAGACCTGGATTGGGGGCTTTATTTTTTAAAATACATTAAACTATTAACAAGTTGCAAAATTATATAATAGATCGTTAAAAAATTATTTGCTTCTAATATTTTCAATTTCTCTTTGAAACAATTTACAAAATACTAACATAATTATTTTAAATTATAAAATTTTAAAAAGGGCTAGTTTCAAATTGGAATAAATTGGAGGCCTAAAATTTTTACCTCTGCACTTTAATTAAATGCTTTATTAATAAAAATAATGGATAATACTATAATTTTCTTTATAAAATAATTAAATGATTCATAGACTTGAATATAGAACAAAAAGTTTTCTTCAGATATACTAATACTAGTGTGTTAAACGGCTCGTTTTGAGTCGATTTTTAAAAATGGCTAACTCAATATTTCATCCATAAAAATATTACGCAAGCTAAAAGATTTTGTTCATAGAAGGAGAAAAGATCTAGGACATATATTATAGAGATCTCTAGGCTTAGGCAATATTTTTCTGGCTAAAATATTGTGTTTGTCATTTTAAAAAATCGGCTCAAAACGAGCCGTTTAACAGTACTAACAAATACCAGTACTTACAGTATCAATCAGTATCTGCAAATTTTAACAGATACCAGTGGCCGATATTAAAAAATAATAATTAACCTTATATAAATTTTAAAAAATAATTTATATCCTACATTATTAGCCATGTATTTTAAAAAAAATTCTAAAATTATATATATTAATTAAAAATGATAATTTGAATTTTGTTATTTTTATTAAATATGATGAATTCCATGAAAAATCAACCCGGCCTCCTCAGATTTTTCTAAAATTTTTACATATATTTAATTATAATAACTAAGAAAAATTTTTTTTAGCTTCCAACTCCAAACAGCGGCTGAGATATGAGCTTTCTAAAGGTCGAAAAATGGGGCATTTTGGGGTTAAATGCACTTTCTTTAATTTTACATATCTTGGGATAAAATTGAGCTAGAAACACCAGTTTAATGGTAGGTCTTTAAAATTTCATAGTGTTGAATTATTGTTCAAAAAATTTTAAATGAAACCGGAAGTGATCATAAGATCAAATCGACATTTTTTCTCTCTCTCAAATTTATGTATAACTGTAGAATTAATAAAAATTTCAAGTTGGGCCGAGCACATGTTTAGGAGATATGGCATTTTAATTATTATTCAATTGTAAAAATTAAAGCCAAAAGCTTTTAAATATTTTATGTCTAAAATAGACCTGCAGAGGTACTTCGTATCAGGTCAATTCAGCGAAACTTTTATCGCGAAACATTTTTTCGGAAGGTAAAATCGCGAAACCAATTCTGCGAATTTTTTTCCGAAAACATTTATAGCGAAGACAATTTCGCGAAGCCATTGTCGCGAATTTATTTCCGCGAAACCTTAACCATGAATTTATTAGAGCGAATACATTTTAGCGAAACATTTTACGCGAACACTTTACAGCGAATTTTTTACCGCGAGTATGTTTGCGCGAAGTCATTATCGCGAGCGCATTACCACAAAACAATAAATATATTGTGAATGCATTTATTTAAAGGAAAACAACATATTATTTATTATTTGATGATTTTTAATAAAAAATGATATGCTACTATTGTAATATTATTTTTGTTACAATTTATTAGTGATTTTCAAGCCCAAGGTTTTAAGTAAAAAATATTTCTTGAAGTTCAAAAAGATTTTTGAACATATTTTCATAAAAATAATAAATCTTCTTTATAAATATCTCTCTTTTGAGGAATTCTTTTGTGAAATTTATTATAAATATACAATTTTTAGGTGAAATCTTTTATAGCTTTTTTATCATTTTTGTAATTATCTATTTTATAAGTATATTAAAAGAGGTGGGTTTTATAAATAATTTTTTTTAAATATTTATATGTTATTTTATATGATCTTTTTAAGGATAATATTTTAATGTGACAATTGTCATATTTGTTATTTATTAAGATTTTTGAAATTTTTTGACTCAAAAGAGTAAAAATATCATTTATATTATAAAGATGTTAAATTATATATTCAATGAAGATGTTCCTTGGAAAAATGGCAATTATCATAATTTTTAAACATATTAAATTTTTTTGACGCTAATGGGCAAAAATATGTATTTTTAAAATGTTAAATTAGAATTTCAATTAATGATGTACCATATAAAAGCGACAATTGTCATATAAGTTATTTTTAAAGTTTTTGACATTTTTTTGAAGTAAATGGGCTAAAATAAGTATTGTGAACATGTTTAAATAAAACCTCAGTGAAGATGTACCCTCGATAAGTGACACTTGTCATAATCCTTATTTTTAAAGTTTTTTGAATTTTTTTGACGCAAAGGGTAAGATTGTAAACATGTTAAATTAGAATTTCATGAAGATGTACCATATAAAGTGACAATTGTCATAATCGTTTTTTTTAATTTTTTGACATAAATGGGCCCAGCTTCTACCAAATCTAACTGCCCTTTATGTAATAAACTTGTTAAAGTAACCAAATTGGGGCTATTGCCATCTCATCGAAACCAGAAGATAAAATGTCCTCAATCTGGGTTTCCCATCTTATCACCAGCTATCCCTCGAACCCTAAATGCCTTTTCTGCCCTTGCCCTCGCACAACCTATAGTTACCATTCCCACGTTGACTGATGTGCCTACTAGCCCAATAGCCCCCACCTCAACCGCCGAAAATGCTCTCACTTTCAATCCAACCGACTCCACAGATGTAGAAATATTTATAGTCACACCAAAACCATTTGTGATTTCACGTATACCTAAGGGAGCAAGACTTCAAGTTGCCAAACACCTCTCAAAGAACTTGACTTCCTTGATAAATAATTATTCTTACATAAAACACTGGCTAGACACCCTGTCATTTGCCTTTACTACCTTGCAAGTTCCTGATCCTGCCAGTAAAAAATCTCTGACACAGCAAATCAAGGATGCTACTATCTACCCCTTACCCATCAATCACTTTTCCACATCTTTTAAAGGTGATGACACTGATAAAAATAAAAATCACAAAAATGACCTACTCACCAAGGCCAAGCTTATATCTAAAAAGCTGGATAACCTGAATGTTAAATCCGCCATACGACTGGCAACATCTGACAATAAGTTAGCTCCCTACGATCAAACAACTTATCAAGCTCTTCTCCTAAAACACCACCCACACGATCTTAAGGACGAAATACCGTCTTACCCCGAAGCTCCTCTAATTGCAACCACTTTTACCTCAAGCGAGGTTAGAAAGGCTATTCTCTCCTTCAAACGCGATTCTTCACCGGGGGTTGATGGGTTTCGCCCAATATTCCTACAGGATCTAACCGCACCTTACATCACACAACAATGCGACGTTTTGGAAAAAATTACTCAACTCATCAACCGTATGCTTGCTGGAGGCTTACCACCCGCCATTATTCCACTCCTTTATGGAGCTAAACTCATCGCCCTCCACAAACCTAATAAAGATATTCGCCCTATCGCTATTGGAACCACTTGGCGCCGATTAACCGCAAAGCTAGTAGTGAGCAGAATATTGTTCACAGTATCTAATCACCTGTGCCCTAATCAATTAGGAGTCAACGTAAAAGGGGGATGCGAGGTATCCTTACACATGACCAGAATGTATCTACAAACAGACCCCAGTGACGATATCCTAATTAAGATAGATTTTTCAAACGCTTTTAATCTAAAACGTACAGCGTTTCTTAATCCCATCCTTACCCTTTACCCAGAATACTCGCAATTCATCTTCGATTGTTATGCTAGTCCATCGCATCTTCAATTTGGAGATAGATTGATTCCTTCTAGTAGTGGAATACAACAAGGTGACCCTCTAGGCTCCTTCTTATTCAGTCTGGGCATTAATAGCCTAATACAAAGCATAAATGACCAATGTAAACTAAACCTTCATAACTGGTATATCGACGATGGTATACTAGGCGGCTCACCCAGCGAAGTTATGAAGGCGGTCGAAATAATAAAA